ATATCGATTCAGATTTCTCTTTGTTCAAAAATTTCAAAAATTTATCGCGTTACTCGCGATGCACACTTGAGAATTTATCATGCCTGCATACATCTTGAAACTTTCGGAATGTGGAAGCGCGAAAGAGATCAGGAATAAATCTAGCTTAGACGTTTTACCAGGCAATTGTATAATTTGCAACTTAATTTTAGCAACAATTTACGCAACGACGTTGTAGAACGGATGGCTCGAAACTTTTCGATTGTCAAATCTTTTTCGAATCTTTTCCGAAGCGCACGGTGGAAACTACCCCCCCCTCTCCCCTCTCTCTCTCTCTCTCTCTCTCTCTCTCTCTCTCTCGGTTCATGAGGAATGCGAAGAAGGTCAGCCGCGTCTTTTCCGGCGCTTACGCATCGTGTAAATACAACCCGACTGACCCACTGCGCCAACGATTCTCGCTGACATTTCGTAACCATCACTGTCGTATATTTAGCGTTACGTTACGTACGACCACAGCGCGGGAGAACGGGACAGCTGTAGTAGGAGGTTTACTTGATATCGTTCAAGCTTCGCGATTCAGCCAATTGTCAGCTGCCGCTCATGACTGCATACGATATAACTATGGACGTGCTTATCGATGTTTTGTTCACCGTGTTTATCTTTGCGTCATCATTTTGCTCAGTTCATATGACTCTTCCGTCAGGATGATGAAACTAATGTCCATTAACTCATGTCTCTTTCTATCAATGTAAATTAATCTCGGTTTATCTTTTTTTTTCTTCATTCTAAAAACTAGAGAGAAAGATAAGAATAGATTAAACGTTTTATTAGAGAGAGATTTGTATTGGTAGAAATGAATATTAAGAGAATATTCTTTTACAATACATATTCACAAACTTTTTTCTAACGCAATAAAACACAAATCTGTTTTTTTATTATGGCACAACATGTACATTTAACATATTTCTATACTTGTATACTTCTGAGAAATCGTAAGAACGCAATCCGTAATTAATTATTTTATCAACGGCTGGTGATTCATGTATATTGTACGTTTTTTTTATTGCTTTTGTACGTGAAAGGTATATGAAACAAAAAATATGTTAATGTTTTTATCAACGCGTTGACGCACGTTTATGCTTTAAAGATTTTGCAATTTGCGCACCTTTGTCCACGATAGATTCCGTTTTGGATTTCTCGATATTCGGACTTTGCTTTCGGCAATCGGCAAACAGAAGTGCATCGCTATCTTCTAAATCGAAACATATCTGCAGCTAGCATGAAATTACACAAACGTAGAGAGTGAATCTTGGCTCGATACAGTCGTATTTCACTTGCGGCTTCCGTAAATTACAAAAGGCTGTGTTTAGATCCACGCACGCGGCGTTTCACTCTTGCTTTTCTATTTTATTGCCGGTCGCGGATGTATGTAGGTCTGATTTGTAAATAGCGTGATTTCACGGACCAGTCTAAAGCGTTGCGCGTTAAGCAACGCGCTCAGGAAACATGCAATCGTTAACACGTAAATTATTTTTCTCGTCTGGAGAAAAATATAAAAATATAAAAATTTACATAAATTCCTTTTTCTCGTATTTATACAAAAGATATTCATATTTATATCGACACGACAATTTTCTAATTGTGCATCCATTTTATTTGGCGAAAATATCGCGTGTCAGCGCGAAGACCATCCGCGAACAGAGAAGACAACACGTCAGTTATATTTCTCGTGGCAGATTTGCCATTGCGACAAAACAGGCGATCCTCAGAGACGTGTCCACTGACCGTTGCGGACTTTCGCGACTCCCGGTATCCCGTTGATAGAGCAACGCGCCTCCGTCACGACTCCGTCACTGCGTCCGTAACGCGGTGCATTGCACGGGTCTTGCTAGAGACCTCTCTCTCTCTCTC